TTAATATCTACATGACCTTAAGCAATTCACTTAATGTTTCTTGGCTTCCATTTTCTCATCTTTAAGACAAGAAGGTTGAATTTGGGTGGGAAAAAATTACATCTTCATTTACACTTTCATCTAATTAAAAGTTAGCATTTACTTCAACAATTTAAAAACATTATTCTGGGTGCAGCTAAGTGGCATAGTGGATAGAGCTCTGGCCTTGGAATCAGGAGGACCTGAGTTCAAATCTGACCTCAGACACTTGACACTTGCTAGCTGTGTGACCCTGGGCAAGTCACTTAACCCCAATTACCTCACCAAAAAGCAAGCAAATAAAGAAAGAAAGAAAAACATTATTCTGAGAAGACATCTATAGACTGGCTACCCCAGACTGCCAACAGGGCTCATAACACACCTCTACAAAGGAGATCTGCTTTGCTTTCAAAGTCCTTTACAACCTGACCCCAACCTATCTTTCCATTAGACCCTTCTCTGTACTCTCCATTCAGCCAAACTGGCATATTCTCTGTGACCTTGCTACCCTTCCTATCACATTACAAATGAGGAAACTGAGACCCAGAGAAGTGGCAGGCCTCGATTAGAACCCAGGTCTTCTGACTTCTAGAGGGGTCCTGGCAGTCTGAGGATCCATATAACAATGATTATAACAAGAACAATAACATTTATATAGTGTTTACTATGTGTCAGGCACTGTGCTAAGCACTTCACATTATTATCTCATTTGACTGACCATAACCTAAGTCAGAGGGGTTAAACAAGCAGCCCACAACCCTCCTTAGCTCAGCCAAAACTGGATCCAGATTAAAATGTAATTGGGAAATATTTAGCAAAATAAATAAAAATAGAATAAAACATAGATAATATTACATTTTAAAACTAAGTCAACATGCGGCCTGCAGAGATCCTTATGTACCAAATATTGGTCCCCATTTCTATTTGAGTTTGACATCACTGATCTAAATCATGGTTCCTGATTTTTGTGTGTGTGTCTGAAGACAACGGATCCCTTCTAAAAATAATGTTTTAAGTACAATCCACAGGATTTACAATGCAATATACAAGACTGCAAATGAAACCAATTAGATTTAATTGAAACTAACAAACTATTTTTAAAAACAAATTCTCATCCCCCCACCAAGGGAAATCTACCCAAATGCACTCATGGGTGAAGAGGGAATAGACTTCAAGGGATAGGGCTGAAATTAGACTGATCTTCAGAGTGAAGGGTGTGGCCAAAGTATTCCTAGGCCATCCATCTCTTAGTTGAACTTGGCTTCCTCAGCTCTGCCCTTCCCTCCCTCCTGCCCCTAGCTTCCTGTTGATCTGAATTTGACTGAGGGCAGAGCAGAGAGGATGAACATTTCCCTATGGGGGGGGTCTATGTTTTGGGAAGGGGGTGGCGCTGACAGTTGGGTGGTCTGATGTTCAAGGGAGGAAACTTCAGCTCCCTACCTGGTTATTAATGTGCAGTAATAGCAGCCCTGATAGGGGAGGGGCATAGCTAATAAACACATGGTGATTAGGGGTAATGTGGTAATTGCAGTCCTGGCTGGGGGTGTAATTGAGAGATGCTGCATGGTGATTACATAGCCTGATGCTGCTATTTCCCTGGAATGCATGGCTCTTAGGCATGGCCTTTGTTATGTCTCTAGCCACCATGAACACAAAGCCAAAGGGAGGGTGTCAGACTCCGTGCCAAGGGCAGCCCCCCTTCTGCCCCTAGGAAGAGGTGCCTCTCTGACTTTTAGGGCAATGATCATAGGATCAAAGATTTGGAGTTGGAAGAGGCCCTAGAGATAACCTAGTAACCCTCCTTCATTTTAGAGATGAAGAACTGGAGGCTCGGGGGCCATGCAGGTGACTGGCCCAAAGTCACACAGGTTGTCAGAGCTAGAATTTAAACCCAGGTCCTCTCACTCCAAATCCAGCACTGCAGCGATATCTGCCTTCAAACGGACAACAGCCTGTTGTACAGGAGAAGTAACTGATTTGTCTCTTGCTCTGGAAGACAGAACTAACCCTAGCGAATAGGAGTTACAGGGAGACAAACTTCAAGTCAATACAAGAAACAACGTCCTAATGAGTGGAGCTTCCTCAACATGGCGCAGTAGTGAGTTTCCGTTCCTGGAGACGATCTAGCAAGAGGCCAGATACCAAAACTGGAGAGAGATTCTGACAGGGGGTGGGAAGCTGGACCAGGTCAGAGATTAGTTTTATCAGTTCATCAGGGCCACTAGGTGGCGCCATAGTGCATAGAGTGCCAGGCCTGGAGTCTGGAAGACTCATCTTCCTGAGTTCAAATCCGGCCTCAGACACTTACTAGCTGTGTGACCCTGGGCAAGTCACCTCACCCTGTCTGCCTCAGTTTCCTCATCTGTAAAATGAGGTGGAGAAGGAAATGGCAAACCACTCCAGTAGCTTTGCCAAGAAAACTCCAAATGGGGTCATGAGGAGTTGGCCGTGACTGAAATGAGTGAGTAACAACAATCTTGGTTGATGCTCTATGATGCCTTCCCTTATTATGCCAGCCAGAAATGACTCCTCCTTCCCCTTGTAGGACTGAGTATAAACCACTCATTTGAGCCCTGATGAGTACTTCTTTGCACCATGGCCACATCTGCACTTGACTCATTCCTCCTTCCTAGTGCCAGACTCAGAACCAGGAGACCTGGGTTCAAATCCCATCTCAGGCCCTGACAATGACTAACCTCAGGTGAGGTCACTTAATTTCTTCGAGTTTCATTTCCTGCATCAGCAAAGCAGGGAGTAATATTTTCATTACCTCCTCTTTGGGGAAAGTACTTTGTAAACCTTAAAATGTTATAGCACTGTGTGCTATTATTATGGCGGTGCTTTATAAACTGGAAAGGACTGTATAAATGTGACTTATTAGTTTTGAAGAAAAGCCACAGAGCTAGGACTGAAAGGGACCTTGCCACTCATCCACTCCGACCCCCTCATTTTATTTATTTTTTATTTTTTTGGGGTGAGGCAATTGGGGTTAAGTGACTTGCCCAGGGTCACATAGCTAGTTAGTGTCAAATGTCTGAGGCCAGATTTGAACTCAGGTCCTCCTGACTCCAGGGCTGGTTCTCTATTCACTGTGCCACCTAGCTGCCCCTTACCTCATTTTATTTTATTAAATTTTTTTTCAGTAGACAAAAATCTATTTCCTCTCCCTCCTACTTCCCCCTACTCCAAGTGAAGAAGAAAAACAAATCCCTGTAACAAATAGGCATAGTCAAGCAAAGCAAATTCCCAAATTGGCCAGGTCCAAAAACAGGTCTCATTCTGCACCCTGAGTCCCTTACTTTTCTTATCAGGATATGAGTAGCATGTTTCATCATTGGTCCTTTGGAATAGTGGTCACCTCAATTTACATATGAGGAAACTGAGGTCCCAGAGGCTAAATGATATGCACGCAGAAGTGGCATTGGAACCCTGGTCTTCACCTCACGCTCCTCAAGGGCCAGACCTGTGTCTTATATGTCTCCATATTCCTCATAGCACCTACCTTCCACAGTGTCCAGCAAAGAGTAGGTACCCAATATGTGTTTATTAAATGAATTATATATGTTTATTAAATGAATTAAATATATATTTATTAAATGTATGAATGAATCTGCTACCTCCTCAATTCTTCCCCCAAATCCTTTTTTTTTCCTCCCGAATTCCTAGTAAACTGGACTCCTAGATTCTATTTTTATCAATACGTTGCAATATTTTGGTCAATCCACTTCCTTTCTTGCCTGGTTGAGGACAAAGCCAAGGAATCTCTTAAACTAAGTAGATTTAGAGCCATGTACTGAGGTGCCCTGGTGTAAGACATTAGCATGAATTCAAGGGAGTCTCTCGGGACATCAAAGTGAAAAAAATCTGTTGGACTGATTGCTAAGCCCTTGTTCAAATGTTTACGAACATGAACATTACTAGGCATCTGGGGTATACATATAGAAGAGGGAGTAAAGTGAGTAGGATGTAGAATGACGGGTTTGGAATCGGAGGACCTGAGTGCAAATGCTGGCTTTGCCACTTACCACCTGTGTGACACTGGGCAAGTCATTTAATCTCTCTAGACCTCAGTTTTTTTCAAATGTAAAATAGGAGGTTGGATTATATAGCACTTGAAAGTCCATGGAGTACTTTACAGGTAGTTTCATTTGACCCTCACACTAACCCTGGGAGGTAGGTGCTATAATTATCTTCATTTACAGATGAGGAAACTGAGTCAAACAGAAGTTAAGTGCCTCGAACTGGGTCACACAGCTAGTAAGTGTCTGAGGTAGGATTTGAACTCAGGTCTTCCTGATGCTAAATCCAGTTTTCTATCCGTTGCAACACCGGCTGCCTCTAGGTGCTTTCCAGTTCTAAATCTATGATCCTATAAGTAAAGGGTGTGGAAGGAGGATCAGGTGGGAAATTGCCAAGTAACTCCCACTTAGGACAAGTGTAATAGAAGTACTCAGTTTAACTGGAAAATAATAAATATTTCTTATTTAGGTAATAATTATATAGCATTATTACTATGTTTTTGTTGTGCAGTTGTTTCAGCCATGTTCAACTCTGTGATCCCGTTTGGTGTTTTCCTGACAAAGATACTAGAATGGTTTGCCATTTCCTTCTCCAAATTATCATTATAGCTAGTATTTATGTAAGGGTTTGCAATGTGCCTTACACATTATTTCATTTGATCCTTACGACAACCCAATGAGCTAGATGCTATTATTATTATCCATATTTTACAGATGAGGAAACTGAGGCTGAGAGAAGCGACTTGTCCAAAGTCACACAGCTAATGAGAGTCTAAGGTGAGATTTGAACTCAGATCTTCCTGATTTCAAGTCTATCACTCCACCTACTACTGTACTTAGCTGCCTAATGCCCTGAAAGGATGCAGTGCCCTAGGGGCACACAGAGAAGAGATCTGCAGTGACCTCTTCTGATAGCCCAGTGGCACAAGGAGTCCGGCCAACCCCCTCTCCTCACATTGTTACCTCATTGTCCTCCTCATTGTGCAGCGGCTGAGTGTAGGCATCTGGCTTTCTGATCAAAGGATCTACCAGCATGAGGAAGGCCATATACAGGAGCAGGGCACCCACCACAGACAGATAGATGACGATGATGACCTGGGAAGAATGGACACAGCTCAGTGAGGCCGGAGGGAGCTGACGGTGGCCAAGTCCTGCCCTCAAGGAACTTCCAGTCTAATGAAGGAGATCATCCCCTATTCCCTGCCCCCCCCAACAGATAGAAGATCACAAAGACCTGAAAACACAAATAAGGGCGAATTCCTGTGTAAACCATGTTCTGAGGGAGTGTGGAAGCAACAGTAACCACTGAAGATTTCCTAGAAGGAGAAGGATGGAAGAAGCATTTATTAAGCACTTACTGTGTGCTAAGTACTTTGTAAATATTACCTTATTCAATCCTCACGACAAGCCTATGAGGTAGATACTATTATTATCTCCTTTTTACAATTGAGGTAATAAGGCAGACAAAAGGTAAATGACTTGCCCAGGTTCACCTAGCTAGTAAATGTCTGAGGCTAGATTTGAACACAGGTCATCCTGACTCCAGGCACAGAGCTCTATCCATTGTACTATCTAGACACCAAATCCTAAAGGTGGGTTAACAGCAAAGTTTAGACAGAGGCTTTAACAGAAGTTATGGGACAGCATTCCTGTGGGAGGGTGGACTATTCCATGCCACTAAGACAAAGGAGCTGTATGGAGGGCATGTCCAAAAGTTTTTCTAGTTAGAGTAGAGAGTCCGAGGTGGGATGTACTAAGCAATTAGACCAGATTAGGGAAGGGGGGACAAAGTAGGCATAGAAGAAGAAATTGAGGTTTAATCTAATAATAATAATAAAAATTACTGGCATTTGGGTAGTGTTTTAAAGTTTGCTTTTACATATGTTAAATCGTTTGATTCTCCTAACAGCCCTGGGAAATGGGTGCTATTATTATTCTCATTTTATAGATAAGGAAACTGTGATTAAGAGAAATTAAATAACTTCCTTAGGGTCAGCTAGCAGGTTTGACCTCAGGGCTTCCTGATTCCAAGGCCCCTCTTCATTTCACAGTATCACTTAACCATCTCCTATCATGGACGTAAACATTCATTGTAAATGTACAAGCAAGTCGATGTTTGGGGAATATTATTCTTATTGTACGCCGTATTTTGTATTATTCTATTTTGTATATTGTATTATTCTACTGTGTGTAGGACTGATTAGATGAGGATGAAACCATGACTCTGGGATTCTGCCCTCAGAAGTAGCTGTGGCCGTAGGAGCCAAGATAACTGTTTGCAGCATCCTTCTGTGGAGAGGGGGGATTGACTCAGCAGAGGGTCAAGACCCACAGGGAGCCAAACTCTACTCTAATGGGAGAGAGCAAAAAGCCAATAGTTAACCACTGCAGGACCTCGCCCTGGTTAACTTGAGAAGGAGCAAAGACTCTCTCACAGAGAGAGCAGTGTGGGTGTGAGCTTAGGACTCTTGGGTGGCATCCCTAGCTCTCCACCTGGTCAAAGGCATTTAGGATTTGGATTCTTCCATTCTTGGGGCCTAGACATCTCTGTCCCTTACCCAAGGGGAAGTTTTCCTGATTTCCCAGGTTGGACACTTGTTACCAGTGTAACACTGGGCAAATCGCTTGGTCTCTCTGGGTCTCACCTATGAAATGATAGGGTCAGACTAGATGATCACTATGGGTCCTTCTAATTCTAAGTCGTGATCCTATCATCCTTGCCTCTCAACCCCATCCTAAGTGGGAAAGCAAGGAAGAAAGAGGTCAGGTCTACAACAGGCTTGGGGGGGAAAGGTCACCTAGGGCAAATCGCCGGGGGAAATCCATGCGATTAGCAGGATGTGTCTGATGAGGTCTTGGGGCTGGGAAGTCCCTTCTCCCTCAAATAGCATGAGGTGACATCTGGCACAGAGGGTACGGCTCAGGCATCTGGTCCCCAGAGGGTGGGGCCCCACTGGAGGGAGTTCAGAGAGGGAGAGGGAACCTGCTTAAGGGAGGGGCTGACTCAGGAGGGAAGATGAAAGGAATTAAGTCTGCACAAGTTGACAGGGCGATGACTAAAAGGTGTGTGTGTGTGTGTGTGTGTGTGTGTGTGTGTGTGTATTGGGGGGCTAAAGAATAGACATCTTCTGTTAGTTTTTTTTGAAAGGTGTGAACACCAGAAGTTAACACAGGAAAGGAGGTGCTCTCTGAGAGGTCAGGATAAAGACGACCAGAGTGAAAGTCCCATGATTTAGCCTGAAAGAAGTGAATAGACACCTAATCATTTACAAATCCACAGGTTGGTTGCTCTTCCCTGTATAAAGTCATAGAATTCCAGTTGAAAAGGCCTCCTACAGACATTATTTAATCCAACCCACCCCTGAACAAAGATCCTGCCAACAACATACCCCAAAGATAGTCCTCTACTTTACTGAAGACCTTCACAGACGGGGAACTCATTACTTCTTTGGGTAGTGCATTCTACTTTTGGACAGTTGTAATTGTTGGTTAAGTTTTTGTTTAAATTGGGCCGAAATCTACCCCTCTGCAAATCCTGCCGAAGGATCCTAGCTGGTCCTTCCTTCAAGGCTCCTCCTTGGGAATGGCAGCAGGAAGGGTTTATGTCAGACTGCAATGAGAACTTCCTGGCTGAGACAGATTATCTCTTTGCCTGGAGGTCTTTTATATGAAAAGAGAAGAGGCAGCTTGGAGAGAGAGTCTGCCTCAGAATTAGGAAGACCCGAATTCAAGTCTCACTCCTGACATCCACTGGGCATGTCCCAGGGCGAGTCTCAAGCAGCAACCCAAGATTCTATCTTGCAGAATAGACACGGACTTACATTGGCATGCCAATGAAATCACAGGTTTGGTCTAAATGTTTTCTTAAAAAATTATTTCCTATAGTTAAATTAGGTGCAATCTTTTTTTTAAAAATTTTTTTTGATTAGGTGCAATCTTGCCTAGAGAGGGGGATGATAATAGGATTATCAGAGAGGCCTCTTAGCCTAGAAATTCTATTCTGTGAAGTGATTTATACTACCGTCTCCTTAATTCATGGACACCTAAGCGGCACAGTGGATAGAACTCTGGGTCTAGAGTTAGGAAGACTTGAGTTTCCTGAGTTCAAACCTGGCCTCAGACACTTATTAGCTGTGTGACCCCGAGAAAAGTCTTTTAACCTTCTTTGCCTCAGTTTCCTCATTTGAAAAATGAGCTGAAGAAGAACATGGCAAACCACTCCAGTTATCTTTGTCAAGAAAACCCCAAATGGGGTCCCGGAAGAGTCGAACGTGACTAGAACAACTGAACAACAGCTTCTTAATTCATTCATTCAAGCCCCACCCCCAACTTTGGGGATGGAGATTTGGGGAAGTAGGAGGATAAAAGGAGACTGAGAAGGGAGTCTGAAGGAACATTAGTCTCAGATACCCCAGCTCCCAGGTTTCATCCTGATCAATGAAGTCCCTTTTAGAAGGGAAATATCAGGCTACAAGATGTTCCCCCTGGTATGTTTTAATAAGCTTCTTGATAGCTGGGATGATTTCGCTTTGACCTTGGCCTTGCCAGTGGTTAGAATTATGCCTGGAACATAGTAAGCACTTAATAAACGCTTGTGTGTTCTGCATGACTTCACATGTGTAATGGGTCTTGATTCCATTGCTTGCCTTCTTCATGGGTGGAGGAAGGGCTGGAGAGAGGGAGAGGATTGGGAATTTGAAAGAAAAAAAATAAATGTTTGCTGATTGATTGACTGGAGCTGGACAGAGCAGGGGATAGGACCCTAACCATTCCTCCTAGGGCCCCTGGAAAGAAGTCAGAGTGAAGAAACCAGCTAGGAAGGCTGGGGAAGGCTGGGAGCACCCTGTGGGGGAGGGGGCTGGCCAGCAGGACCTGGATTGGTGGAGAGCTGGAGGATGGGGGGAGGGCGGGATGGGAGAAGAAATGAACCTGGAGGGGAGGCAGGCATTGGGGGTGGTACCTTGATGGTGGTGGTGCTTCTTTCCTCATATTTACACTCACACAGCAGGCAGTAAGCCTCCACATCGTGGCCGGGCACAGGCATTGGCTCCACCACGTGCAAACAGTTACTGCAAGAAAGAGAAAGGAAATCAAACTAGCTAGGTGACACCGGGCAAGTCACCTAACCCTGTTGGCCTCAGTTTCCTCATCTGTCAAATGAGCTGGAAACGGAAATGACAAACCACTCCAGTATCTCTGCCAAGAAAACCCAAAATGGGGTCACAAAGAGTCAGACACAACTGAAATGACTGAACAACAAAGAGACAAGTAAAGGGGAAGGGGGTGATGGGGAGGCTTAAGGAGACCTGGAAAAGGTGTGAGGCAGGGAAGGCAGAGGGAAAGGGAACAAAATGGGAGGGATCAGTGTTGATCTACGTGGCCCCAGAAAGAAGAACCAGGACAGTTGGAAAGAGGAAAGTTTAGTCTTTTTCCTAACAATTACAGTTGTCCCAAAGTGGAATGGGATGCCTTGGGAGGCGGTGGGTTCCCTCTCTTTGGAGGTCTTCAAGCAGAGGCTGGACCATCACTTGTTGGTAAAAGTGAGAATTCATTCTGCTAATAATAATAATAATATCATTTATACAGTACCTACTATGTGCAGTGCACCGTGCTAAGCACTTTAAAATATCTCATTTGGTCCTCACAACCCTGGGAGATAGGAACTGTTATTGTCTCCATTTTATAGTGGAGGAAACTGAAGCAAATAGAGATTAAGGGACTTGTTCAGGATCACCGAGCTAGAAAGTATTTGAGGTAGGACTTGAACTCAGGTCCTTCCTCACTCCAGGCCCAGCTATCTATCCACTGTGCCTCTAGCTACTCCATGACTCCAAGGTTGACTCTCCACTACACTGCCTCTCATTTCATTTCCATAAAATTACAGATTGTGAGAGCTCCCCAGCCCTCCTATCCTAATGTCTCTTTATGATGTGGAGCTGACCCTGTGTCCTCATTCCTTCATTTATTTGTCAGCTGGCAGACCATGTCAGCTGAGCACACACGCTGAATTTCCGTTAAGCTGGAAAGGCTCAGAATGAGAGCCCAGTGGTAGGTTATGTGCCCGTTGTCCAAAGACCAGCCTGGCAAAGTTGGGAGATGCTCGTCACTAGGGCATCATGAGACCGGTCACCAATGGGGTGGTTTTTATTATTTTTTTTTAGCAACAACTCACATGTACTAAGGCACAGAGGGGTTGAGAGCTATACTGGAGAGGGGACACTCAGGCTTACAAACGCACGGATCCTTTGAAGGATCTGTGAGGAAGGTGAGGAACAGATCACAGTCACTTTATAAAGAAGGAAACTGAGGCCTTAGAACAAGGTCAGGGAACCTGCAGCCTTGAGGCCATATGTGGCCCTCTAGGTCCTCAAGTGTGGTACTTCATATGTGGCCTCGAGGCCACAGGTCCCCCATCCCTGACCTAGAAGGTAAAGAGACATCTACTGAGTCTGGGCTGGGACTAAAATCAAGGTCTCCCAAATTATTCATTCATTCCTTTCCGTGTTTATGTTGAATGAGTGAAGGATAATAATAATATAGCAATCATTCAAACTCATATAGTGCTTTAAGGTTTGTAAAACACTTTACATACATTATCCCACTTATCTTCACAATAATTATTATAACCCCATTTCACAGATAAAGAGACTAAGAGACTAAGGCAATGGCAGGTTATATGACTTGCTCAGGTCACACAGACATTAACTAGCTAAGATGGGATTGAAGGAATAAATAAATAAATGACCCATATCAGGCTTCCTTAGCCCCCCAGGTCAGTGGTTCTCTCACAGACCATACCAGAGGGTCTAACGACTCTAGACAGCCCCAAATCCATGGCCACTATAAAACCTAACCCCCTATAAACTACTATATTAAAACCTTGCCAAAATTCATGGGAATGTCAGTGCTGCTTTGCTGAGACTTTAGTGACCATCTTGAAGAAAATCGTGCCAGAAAAGTATTAATATTGTCAAATTAATCACATTAATACAATGGCAGGATTAATAATGTGATTAGAACAGTCAGCGCTTGCAAGGCATGTCTTTACTCATCTGCCTCTTAGAATCCTTAGCTTCAAAGCTGAGGACATGTACCACCTCCTACAGGAAGCCCTTCCTGATCCCCCAAGTCTAGTGCTGAATTTGTTTATCTGTGTAAATGCTACAAATCTCCCCCTGACTCCTCAAACTAAAGGCAGGGACTGTTTTCTACTTTGTATCCTTACCACTTAAAGTGTCTTTTTTATCTAGCAGGCATGTAATACATGCTTGTTGAAATGAATTAAGAAGATTGGCGTAACTCAATCCTTTTTGATGTAATTCAACAAGCATTTATTAAGCCCCTACTGTGTGCCACTGGTAACCTTAGAGAGAGCAGCAGTAGTTGAATTATGAGGTGCTAAGTCTGATTACAAGAGGTTGAGAAGTGATACCCAACACTACCAGGGTCTGCTTGCCACTGACTCCAGACTGGGCGTCTGGACCCCTGGGACTCAGTGCCTAGTGGCTGGGTTTCCAGATGAAGCTGACTCTGACTTTCATTAGTGGGGCAGGAGCCCGTGGATTAGGACGCAATGGAAATCAGGCAGGTGGTATATGAATGGAATAGAATATTGTGGCGCTATGAGACATGGTGAAGGGGACGGTTTCAGAGAAAATTGAGAAGACTTGTATAAACTGATGCTGACTGAAGTGAGCAGGACCAGGAGAACAAATTATACAATAACAACAATATTACTATTCTTGTAAAGATGAAGTTGCAAAGACAACTTTGAAAGACTTAGGAACTCTGATCGGGGCAATGACCAACCATGACTGCAGAGGACTCATGATGAAACATGCTGCCCACCTCCTGATGGAGAGCTGGTGGGCCCAAGAGTGCAGAATGTGAGGGGGTTTTCTGGTGTGTGTTTAGGTTTTGGATACAGGCAATCTGGGAATTTGTTTTGTTCAACTACATGTGTGTTACGGAAGAAATATCTCCACTTTTGTTACTGGATTTTCTTTTTCTTTCTTTCTCAATGGAGCAAGGGTTAGGATGGAGAGAAAGCAAGTTTTCACTATCAAAATTTTTTTTATGTTCTTTTTTTTTTGGCTAGACAATGGGGTTAAGTGATTTATCCAGGGTCACACAGCTAGTGAGTGTTATGTGTCTGAAGCTAGATTTGAACTCAGGTCCTCCTGACTCTAGGGCCGGTGCTCTATCCACTGCCCCAAGTAGCCGCCCCTTTTATTTAATCTTTTTCTTTTTTTTTCTAACATTCATTTTTTTAAAAAATTTTGAGACAGTTGACACTTATTAGCTGTGTGACCCTGGGCAAGTCACTTAACCCCGACTGCCTCATCAAAAAAGCAAAAACAAACAAACAAACAAACAATAAAACAGAAAAAAAAGGAAGTTTTGGTTTCAAGTTTTCTCCCTCCCTTCCTCCCCTCTCCCCTCCCTAAGACAGTAAGCAATTTGATATAGGTTATATATGTACAATCATGTAAAACATATTTCAATATTAGTTGTATTATGAAAGAAGAAACAGACTAAAATAAAAAGAACATGAAAAAATAAAGTAGAAATAGTATACTTTGATCTGCATTCAGAGTCCATTAAGACATAAGCAGTTCCACAAACATGTATTAACTGAGGCAGTATGATATAGTTGAAAGTATGCTGGACTTGATGTCAGAAGACCTGTGATCAAAACCTGATTTTGCTACTTACTACATCTGCATGATCTTCGTTTAGTTTTATAACCTCCTCCCTCTGCTAGTTTATTAACTGTAAAATTAGGGATCGGACAATGGGGTCAAACTCAAATAGAAACTGGGGGCACTAAACCATATATAAGGATGCCTGTGGGTGGCATATTGAATTATAAAACCACATATTAACCTTATCTATGTTCTATTGTGTTTTTATTTATTTTGTTAACTATTTCTCAATTTGGGCAGCTAGGTGGTACAGTAGATAGAGCACCAGGTCTGGAGTCAGGAAGACTCATCTTCATGAGTTCAAATCTGGCCTCAGACACCTCCTAGCTGGATGACCCTGGGCAGGTCACTTAATCTTGTTTGCCTCAGTTTCCTTATCTGTAAAATGAGCTGGAGAAGGAAATAGCAAACCACTCCAGTATCTTTGCCAAGAAAACTCCAAATGGGGTCATGAAGAGTCAGACATGACTGAAAAACGGCTCAACAAAATTTCCCAATTACATTTAATCTGGTTGCTTCCTGAGGGGTGTTGTGGCTGGGTGGTGCCACACATTTGGCACCCTGGACTAATGATCCCTAAGGTCCTTTTTTTTTTAAATTTGGACTATACATGTACAATCATATTAAACATATTTCCACATTAGTTATGTTATGAAAGAAGAATCAGAAGGGGAAAACCACAAGAGAGAAAAAACAAAAAAAGAAAAGAGAGAGAAAATAGTATGCTTCCATCTGCATTCAGACTCTTTAACAGTTTTCTCTGGACGTGGATAG